TGTATAAAGAGTAGAAAATGAGGCATGGTGATAAAAGGCCATGAGTGTTTCTCAGAAAGGGCCAGATGGAATGGGAATAGCACAGCCCCTCAACACCCCAGAGTAGAAAGCTGATAAAGAGCCCATAGCCCCACTCAAAGGAGCCTCTAGAGCTCCATTAGCAGCAAGAGGTTAATTCATTTGTTGTTGACTCACAGACTTTACTCGTAACTTTGGTACCCAGAATAGGGTGTATGAGTTTGCCTAATAGTCCTAAATCACAATTCCTCAATTAATCCAGGCTTGGGTTTCATTTCAGCAACTCAAATTCAAGAAGCCTCTGGTTTCCTCAATCATCCAGCCAGGTTTGTCTCAGAACAGTTACAAGTCAATTTCTCCTTAATTATCCAGCAAGTATAGTAAAACCTTTACTATGCCTTTATCTCAGGGCTCCTCTGGTTACACCTTGTCTCAGTTCCAGAAAGGACTGACGTAATAACTTAAAAAAGGCTAAATTTACATTACTATCACAGCTCACCCTCTGGCTTTTCTAGACATTATTTTCCATTATCTGAAAGATCAATCTTTCCCTAAGCATCATCTAAATTTAGGGAAATATGTTAGACAGATTCTTCACTGCCTATGTCTTCATACTCCCATTTTAGATAGCCAATTTTTAATTTGCCCAGTCTTATCAAATGAGTAATCTGAAGAAACAAGTATGTCTTTTTATCTGTAGAATCTTACATTAAATTTAAATCTGCACCCATAAATAAAGGTCCAGTCTAAAGCAAACCATCAAGTAACAGTAATCAATAGTAGCCCACAGAATGAAACACCTCTTCGTCTGACTGGGTTCTGGTCAACACATCCCCAGCCATCTGTGGCTAGGCCCAAATAGGCATCAGCGACAAAATCAGGAGTCATCACTTCTCCCTGAGTTTCAGACTTGCTGCCCTCCTTAACTAAACTTTAGCTCCATGCTACATCCAGGATCCCTAGGACTCCCTGCTCCACAAACAAGTAACCCCTCTTCAATTATCCATTCATCATGCTAGATGAACAGTGCTGAAGGAACAAGTCTAAACTCAGCCTGTCTCTTCATTACTGTTTTTCTCCAGTTTCCACTCTTCAAGTGGACCCACCCAGGTGGTCACCATAGTTGAGCATACTTTCTTGTTGTTGTTGTTTGGGGATTTTTTTAACTTTAAAGTCCTGGAGGTACATCTGAGGCTTCCTCCATTTTCTCATCAAGTATGAGAGATGGTAAACGTTAACAGGTGGTAAACGTGAGTTAAGCACACTCATGAGCTTTTTCTTGCCTCAGTGTCATTGCAAAAGTCTCTCTTTTACTGCCTGTATACTTTCAAATTTAAATATCTTCAAACTACTGAGTGGGACTTCATCTTTCTCAGGCTAAAATCACACTCTATACCAAATTCTACTACTCTAAGCATTTTTCTAGGGCAGATTTTCCCTTTTTGAATACCCAATTAATATCCAACTGCTTACATTCCTCCCCCACCCATTACAATATGGCCCAATAAAAACCTTAATCCTTTTTTTTTAATGGTTTGCTTACCAAGTTTGTATGCACTGTGTTTTCTATACAAAATATCAAATGGTGATGAATTTTATAAAAAATAATGCATGTGAATGATTGCATGAAACATAAGGTCAATAAAGAATAATGCGAAAAACCTTAATAAGTTTTATAGTATAGCTCAACATTTCATTTAAAACAAAAACAAACAAAACAGCAATATTAATAAAGTTAATAAATTATTAAATAATTATAAAGTAATAATAAAGTTAAGTAAGACTTTTGTCTTAACACGTACAACTTTCAAGGAATTAACAGTTTTGACTTAATTCTCTGCCCTTTTTCTCTGGCCATAAAGCAGCTTCTCAATTTTTCTTTTTACCTTGTAACAGCAAAAGCAACCTTTTAGGTTTCGCCTCCACTTTGTAGAGTAACCATTTTAACTGTACATCTTCCTCATTTCTACATTTGCAAAACCAAGAGAGTGGAGGAGGTAAAGAATGTCAGCCAGTGACGTCTTAGTCCAGCATTCCCCGCCAGATAAACAGCAAAACAGAATTCCCTAATTAGTAAAAGTCCAAATTTCAGTCAAACCCAAATCATCTAACAAGGTTTGCTTCAGAGCAAACCTATGTCAGCTTCTCTTTCCATCATCTGGCAAGAACAGCAAAAACCTTTAACTATGGCCTTCATCTAATGCCACAGTTTCTCCACAGCAACATCACAGGCCCTCTACCATCATCGCCAGTCTCACACCAGGGTCTCGCTCTCAACAGAGTCTTGCTCCAGGCTCCTTCAAGTCTTTACCCAAGTTTGGGAAGCACCATCTCTCTCATCCTAATCCCATATTCGTTGGTGATTTGCAAGAACATATGTCTGCAGTTAAGGCAAAAAAAGAGTCAGAGGAGGCTAAGGTAATGGCTGGGGAGGGGGAAAAAAAACCAAACAACCAAAACCCACCCAACATTAGGCCAACACCCCAGCCCACCCTGAGGCTTTTCTAGTCATTATTTCTCATTATCTAAAGGATTGCTAAAGGGTAAAACCAACAAACAAACAAAAATCTGTTTTGGAAGCCCGGCTGCTCCTTTGAGTTTAGAATGGTGATATTTCGTCTCACATACTTGGCACACATCATCAAGAGGAGCAATTTCTTGGAACAAGGCATCGAGGCGGAGGGTCAGAAAAGAAGAGTAATACTGAAAAAATGAGTCACACACCGACTACAACAACGATCTTAACCACTGTACATATGTCACAGGGTAAGATGAAGACTTGTGTGTAGAGGGGTCCTACAAGTTAGAGTTGACTTGATCAAACATAACAACATACATATATTTCAAAGAAGAGTTTAGGTTATTTACAATTATTCTTGCCTTTTTAAAAAAATATTCATTCAGGTCTTTTTCTTTTTATCTCATAACTAGGCCCTATATTAGACCTCTGATTACAAAGAAAAGTTTGACAATCTTCCTGTCTTCTTAAAGGCTATTGAAATGATCAGAGAAATAATTATATAAAGGCTATAGAGAGCTCACATTTGACGTTAAGGAGACTTTGATTAGAGGCTATAATTTTGTTTGGAGTGTCTGGGAAGTCTTAAAATGAGAGATTTAAGCTGAAGTCTGAATAATGAATATTTATCCAGCAAGAGAGTGGTTTATCAAATTTTATTCAAAAGGCTTGTACAAGGGTGTGCTAATGAGAGAAGAAAGATAAACAGGAAGAAAAGCAATATGACACAGAGCTGGCAAAGCTTTCAATTCAATCTCTGTTGACAATCTGAAGGATATAAGGGAGAGAGAAAAGTATGTTGCTTTAGGAAAGAAGTAGGACAAGAGTGATGTGGAATATCAGAATCCTAGGTATATTTCAAAAAGATCCCTCCACTTGCAGAGTGGAGACAAACTGGGTCTGTGTCTGTTTTGTCCAAAAACGGGCAAAATTCACATGCAAAAAATAAGTGCATTCTTTAAGGTATATTCCCAGTAGTGGAATTGCTGGGTAAAATGGTATTTCTATTGCCAACTTTTTGAGAAAGTGCCAGACCACCTTCCATAGTGCTTGTGCCAATTTTTTACACCTCCCAATCACAGTGAATAAGAATTCCAATCTCTCCACAATTTCACCAGCATTTGTTGTTTGCCGTTTCCTTAAACCTTGCTATTGTTGCTCTGGTGAGATAATAACTCATAGTATTTTTTATTTGCATCTTTTTTATAATTAGGGCTTTCAAACATTTCTTCATGTGTGTGTCTGCCATCTGAATATGTTCTTGGTGCAACAATAAATGGGTATTAAAAAAGAAAAAGAAAGAAATTGAATGTGGGTGGGCATGGAAGGGGGAAAGAGGAAAATGTGCAACAAAGTATAAATAAAGATTCAACTCTCCTGTAAATTTTCATTGCAATGGCAATTTAAATAATAAAAACAATTTTAGAAAAATTACCTGTATTTCAAACTGTGATGGTGTCTGTGAGAGGAAGTAAAGTAAATGCACTTATGAGATCTCTAAGACTTTGTTGGTGCATTATAAGTAAACATAAGGATGAGGTAATTTTCAAGAGCAAACATTAGCTCTCTGGTTTAAATAAATGAAAAAGTAGCATGTCTTTCAGTGATATGAAAAAAAAGACTAACTGAAGAGGTGTGTGTACAGTTTGCATCTCCAGAGATCGTTCTAGAAATACAGGAGGAAATGCCAACAAACATTTGAATATTTTAGAATATAGAAGAGTGCCTGGGATTGCACACTTGTAAGCACCAAAATATGAGTGATAATGGAAACCATAGATTTGAGCATGATTATAGACATGTTATAAAGGAGGCCTGTAAAGTAAAAGATCAATCAAAACTAAACTAAGTAAAGTGCAGACCACTTTTGGAAAACTAGTAATAGCCTTAATATTAAAATGGATTTGGTCATACTTAGATAATCTATGTGTATTTCTTTCTGAAATATCCAGAAGACATTTAGCATTGCCACTCAAGGAGGTAAATCTATATTTCAGCCTTATTTAGGCACAAAGTTTTATGGCCAAGGATACATCTTCAGCTTAATGAATTAACTCAGTCCCATAAGGACAAATACTGCATTATTTTAGAATGAATATGAGGATCCAAGAAGAGAGGAAATGGGGGAGCAGAGGGGTGAGGATGGGCGACAGATGAAGGATGGTTAATCATAAGCTCACACAATTTGATGGGAGGGTGGGGTGCGTGTGTGAAAGAAATGAGAAAGATCCAGTGTGACTAACAATGTACATAAATCAGTATTAAAAACCAACCAAACAAAAAATAAACACAAAAAACCTACAACCAATTTGACAGCGCAAGACTCACTTGAAGATATACAACAAAATATTAAAGTCATTTACATATAGAAATATGTTTCTCGAGCAAGCTATCACTTAAAAAACAGATGGATGGAATGATCATCATAGACAAAAGAAACATATAGAGACCATAAATACCATACCTGCTTAGAAAGCCATGTATCTGATGTCATCTCATATTTCTGAAACAAAACACAGAAAAAAATAGTAATTTCTATTGAGCATCTCAAGTTCTAAACAAGAACACATTAACATGTTTTTCACAATGTTATCTTTCAAACATTTGATATTTCTCTCAGAAAAATAGTAAAGAAACACCATTGCTATTATTGATGTAAAAGGACTAAGTAGAAATTTGGGATTAAGTGATAATTCAGTAAACATTATTCTTGGGGAACTCTTTCAGAATCACTAGAAGTATATCACCAGGATAGAAGATCCACTTCCAGCTCTATTTCATAAGGTCATTCAAATGGTTTTGAATCAACAAAACAGATGGATATCTAAGGCAAAGCAGGTATATCATGTTCCCTGGGAGTCACTTGAAAGATGAGCATTTCTATTAACTTGGTAAAGTCCAAAATCCTTCCTCAAGTTCAGTAGGTATTATTTGCTTTAACTAGGAAAAAAGCAGGAAAACATTTATTCCTTTTCACAAGTTCAAGGGGACACCAGAGTAGGTAAGAAAAGACATTCTGAGGTTTCACAAGCATGCAAATAAGAAAAAGTTTCCAGGGTACTCAAATAGCAGAGACAATGAAGCTGCATTTTTCAGACTTTGGACATGTAGCTACGTGAGATTATGTGGTGGAAAGGGATATCATGATTGGAAAAAGGAAGGGTCAGTGAGGAGAGGAAGACTCCCAAAGAGAAGAATTGACAAGGTGACAGCACCTAACAATAATAGCATTATCCTTTCTACATCCCTACAGAAAATTCAATTTTCTTTTCCTCCAAGCAATATTAGGGAGACAATTTTAAATACATTTATTCAAAGAACTGGGTAAACAGCGAAGGTAAAATTAAAATAGAACATTCAATATCCAATATATCCATCATTAGACCTTTGGTTTTGGAAATTTGGGGATTGGATTATTTTTCTTGTTGTGTTGATAGCATTATTCCTTGTGAATCAGTTTTATTATAGCCAGGAAAAACAAAGAAATTAGACATTTGAAATGCCAAGATTATGTGTTCCTTTAATACAATCTGTCAAAATTAGAACCAAAACTGTATTATTTAAAGTGTTAATATGCATACTAATCAAATTTTAAATAAGTATTAATAAATAAAAAAGCATTTTAGTATATTCACATGTAATGAATTATTAAATATTGGGTTGTTTTCTGAAATAAGCAATCTATAATGAAAGTATAGACTTTAAGAAAGTTAAATAGCAAAGTTATTGCTGTTGTTGTTAGGTGCCACCAAGTTCACTATGAATCATTGTTACAGTTAGATGTCAATGAGTCATCGTGGACTTTTGGCAACCATATGGAAAAACTGATGTATGTACTACCCTTCTTCAGATGTGTTGCACCATCCCCACAATGCCTGATATATCTGAGCCCATTGCTGCAGTCACTGTGTAAATCCATCTTAAGTCTTACACTCCTTTGCTATGACTCAAAGAGACTTTATAAAACAAAGAGATTGTAACCTTGACCTATCCTGAAACATTTTAATAATCTCTGCCATTGGCAGCCCATTGTCATAGTCACTATGTCAATCTATTTCAGTGAGGGTCTTCTTCTCTTTGGTGACTCTCCACCTTTCCCAGTATGATGTTTCACAAGTATATTCATTTATTTCAAGCATGTTTTTAAAGGGTCAGTCTATGGAAACCATAATACAATTTTGGTTTTACCCAAGTATGCAAGTATTCAATTTAAAATGTTAATAAAAGCATTCCCTTACAGATTTCTTTGCTTTCCCCAATTTTCCTTATAAATTTATATCAACCATTAATAACATTTTGTTGACATTATAATTAATTGACCATTTTCTCTTTTCAGAGATTTTAGTAATAGATTTTTTTACTGCATAGAGACATTAGGAAAACATCTAACTACATAATATACTTGACTCTTTGTACTCCAACAATACATTTTCTTGGTATCTATGAAACAGATTTAAAATGCATACCAATGACACTGCTCATTAGCATCATCAATTATTTTAGGATCCATGACAGCATACAGTTTCACATGCTATTATTTGCCTTATGATTTCAATTATGCAGAAAGTAAAATGACTTTTAAACTCCATAAATTTTATAGAAATATAATAGCATGTCAATACAGAGTCAATTAAAAATATAATAGGGTCTTTATAACTGTGCTCTGTTGAATCATTTTAATATAATTTTGTAGTTGACACAATTTTTCTGATATGAAATAAAACATTTAGATTGTATAGAGAAAGTGATAGACTTTTTCTGGTTAAATGGAACATGTCTTGTACACCAAATTTTAAATAATTCTCTAGCTATCAATATAAGAAACCTTAAGAAAAAAAATGCAGAGTCACATTAGTCTGTTATCTAAGAAGCTGGGGAAGATGATCCAGGTAACTGAACAGCATAAGAGAAATGTGAAAAACACCAGTGAAATCTAATTAATAAATATTCAGCTCAACAACTTTTGTTTCCATATATTTTCCAGTCAATCTAAAGAGTAATACCTGTTGGTTGGGTTTGTGTTTTTCTTTTTTGTTTCTTATTTCAAACCATTTAAAAATTGTTTGAAAAATATATTGAGGAGCCAGCAAAGAGAGAAAAACTCTACCATACCTATGTGAGTCCATGCGCCTTCAGCCACCAGAGAGAGGAGTACTCTGTGGGTGGCTTAGGTCAGCCAGCACTGATAAAAATGCCTTGTGGGCCACACGTGATAACAAACTGTAAGTTTTCTATGCCTCCACCCAGGAGTACAAGGCCTGGACCAGTCAACACAGAAGTGGCTTATGGTCCACCAGGACCAGCCAGCAGCTAAGCAATCACCTCATGGGCTCCTCAGACAACCAGGGGAGAAGTTTGTCACTTAAACAGTAAATACAGGAACGACTGGAAAGGAGGATTACTGTTGTGAAACTGAATCAGTTGCAATGCTTAAATTCTGCAGTTCTATAGATAATATTATACAGATAAGGAACAGGCATCTTCCTACAAAGATACAAAAGACTCTACCTCACACATGAGAAGGACATCACATAATGCCACGGAAGCTACAGTCAAGTACAAATTTTAATGGGGAAAGAAACCCCAAACAAACCCACAGCAAGGCTTACCCTAAAAATGCAGAGCAAATCATGTACCCAATGAATAATTCAAAGACAGAAAATCATAAGAAATACAGTGATTTGGACGCCCAGAAAATGGTATTGAAGAATTTACAAATGATAGATTGTAAGCAAAGAGCAAAAGAAAATTTAAAAAAGCATTATAAGACAGAGAGAAAACAACCAAAGCAGCGCTAGAAAATAAACCATCAAACCAGAAAATACAAATTTTATTGTCAAAATTTTCAGATTAGAGGGACAAAAAAAAAGCAATATAAAAGAGTTAGAACAAACATGAATGAGGCAGAATACATTAAATTCAATGAAAACTAACTAGAAGAAAAACACAAAACATAAAAGGAAAATGAAGAAAATCTAAGAATTATTTGAGGTGACATTAAATAAAACATATAGATGGCTGAGATTTCAGAACAGGAGAGGGTGGAAAGAGCACTCATAAAATTGTGGAAGAAGTACCAGAAGAAAACTTCCCTGGCATCATAAAAAAATGAAGAAATACACATTCAAGAATCTCAGTGAACTCCAAACAGGTTAGACTTCAACAGAAAAGCATTGAAGTGTATCATAGACAAGAAAAACAAATAGTCACCTACAAAGGAGAATCAATTAGACTAAACCCTAACTTCTCAGCAGAAACCCTGCAAGAAAGAAGAAAATGGAATGCAACATATAGAAGACATATAGAATGCAACATACAGAAAACAACTGACAGCCGAGAAGCCTGTACCCAGCAAAGGTGTTCATCAAATATGAAGGGGAAATTAGGTCACTTGTAGAAAAGCAACATGAGGAATTCATGACAACAAGGTAACCTTTATATGAAATATTAAAAGAAGTCCTTCACACATTTTGTACATAAACAGCAAAGGAAAAGACAGTTGTTGTTAGGTGCCGTCAATTTGAGTATGACACATCACAACCCTATGAACAATAGATCTGAACCCTGTCCTATCCTGTGTCATCCACACTTTCTAACATTTTTAGAGCCCACTGTGGCAGTCACTGTATCAATCCACCTGGTTGAGAGTTTTCCTCTCCTTTGTCAACTCTATACATTTCTATGCATCATGTACCTCTTCAAGGAATAGCCCTTCTGAGCACCATGTCTGAAGGATGTGAGATGAAGCTTTATCATTTTTTGCCCACAAGAAGCAAATACTCTGGCTGCACTTTCTCTAAGACATAATTGTTTTTTCTTTTGGCAGTCCATGGGATATTCAGTACTCTTCTCCAATACCATAGCTCAAAGGCATCAATTCTTTTTACGTTATCTTTAGTCATTGTCCAGCTCTAATATGCCTAACGAGTGATTGAAATGATCATGGCCTGAATTAGATGCACTTAATTTCTCAAACTGACATAATTTCTCCTCAATAATTTGTAGAAGTCCCTGGTGGTAGACTTTTCCAGTGGAGTAGGGTTCCTGATTTTCTGACTGATGGTACCAAGCATGTTAATTGTGGCTACAAGTAAGATGAAGTTATTGATTAAAACTTTCAATCTTTTCTCCATCTATCATGACGTTGTTCATCGGACCTGTGGTAAGAATTTTTTGTTTTCTTGACATTGAGATGCAATCCATATTGAAGGCTGAATTCTTTAATCTTCTGCAACAGTGCTTCAAATTCTCCTCACTTTCAGCAAGCAAGGTTCTGTCATCTACACAGCACAGATTATTTGTATTCCTCCAATCTTGATGACACATTCTTCTGCACAGATTAAATTTTCTTGAATAATTTATTTAGCATACTGATTCAATAGGTAGGGAGAAGTAATACAACCGGACACACTCTCTTCCTAATTTTCAACCATGTAGTGTCCCCTGCTCTGTTCACACCACAGCCTTTGATCTTCGAATAGATTTCACATGAGCATAATTAAG